CTCTTCCGGTGGCCCCTTCACATCCCATTCCATGCTTGTCATGTCTCGGCCACAACCTTTTGAACCTCCACGTCAACCTCCCTCATCTTTTCCGTCGTCATCGTCGGTGCCTTCGTCATCACATCGGGACAACCGTTTCATTCCTCAACACGTTCCACCCCACATGTCCCACGTCAATCGGCTTCGGAACCAATAACATCTGCGGTTGACCATCGAGTACGGGTCATTGTCGTTGGGCGCAATGAGTATGGTTTATGCTTAATTTAATTAAAAAAAATTTTGGTTACCGTTATTATGTACTCCGTTATTTATGAATTTAATTAATTTTTATTTTTTTATAGGTTGTATCCCTCCGATGTTTGTTCTCGCTCGATCGTTAAGACATTCCAAGAGTACGTTCATTCTTCGGGATGGATGTGGAAAAAAATGACTCCAGAGACAAAAGATTTTTACTGGGAAGAATTTAAGGTTTTAATTTCTAAATTTTATTTGATTAATTATATTATTTAATATTTAATAAATTGTATAAAATAATATGAAAGTAAAGTTAGTACTTTTTATTTTTTTTTTGGCGAAATCATTTAAATGGGATGATGATTTGAACAAGAGCATAGTTAAGAAAGCATGGAAAAGTCTCGCACGGAAGCGATATTCTAACTTCCTTTGTCGTGTAAGGAAAAAACCGAAGCCGACATATATCTCACGGAAAATATGAGATGCATGGACTACGGAATGGATGAAACCCGAGATCATTGCTCGATGCGAGATGGCGACATGGAACCGTAGGAGCGAGGCCTGGTGGAGTCGGAGCCGGTCCTTCTAGACATACGGGGGGATCAATCGGCCATAGAGAGCACGCCATACGCATGGTAAAAAATATATATTATTTAATTTATTTATAATTTTTTAAAAAAATAAAACCAAAAATAATTAATTAAACATCCGACTATATTTAATACATTTACGTTTATTTATATATGTTTTCGGCGTAATGTGTTGGGTCGTGAACTCGATCCTCACGAGGTTTTCTTGAGGACTCATCGGAGAAAGGTTAATGATCGGTTAGTCTTCATCGATCAACGATCGAGGGTTATCGGAGTAAGTGATAACTTTAAAACATTATTTAATATCCGTTAGTTAATAACGTTATTTGACAATCGTATTTGATGTGACGTGTTTCATAATTATACAAGAGACCGTACAAAGATTAATTAATAAGGAAGAGGTTGCTCGACGGTCGGGAGGGACCGAAGCGACCGCACCCGACATTAATGACATCTTTCAAAGGACCGTTGGTGGAGGAGATAGTAGGAAGAAGAGAATGTACGGACTCGGCTCACATGCATCTCACTATTATTCAGCTGTCAATGCGAGCTCATCTTCTCGCTACTTCTAGATTCAATGCGGTGACGAGGCACGGTTGAAGGAATTACAGGAGCAAACATCTACAAACACGACGCACATCCATAACTTAGAGAATAATGTGAACGACCTACGGGGCCAAGTGGCATCGTTGTTGGATACCACAATTGAGTTGAGAAACAATAATCGAGAGCGAGTTTACGATGATGTCACGGATGCAACGGATGTTCATGCGGCATTTTGAGCATGGTGGTAATTCATCCGTCATTCCCGAGACCGACAACGACTCGACCCAACCTCCGGACGACTCCATCCACCCTCCAACTAATCATGGACATTAACTTATTTTAGATTTTCTGTTTTCTTGTATTAACTACAACTAATGTACTTGTTTTTTTATTTAACAATAATGTAATTGTTTAGCGACGTTTTAATACATTTTGAATAATAAAAATTTACGTTTATGAGATTTTATGAGATTTTTGCTACTTTAAAATTGTTACTTTTACCTCATTTTATTATTGTTTTAAATAAATTTATTTTTTAAATTAGCGACGGTCTTAGAAACCGTCTAGACCATCGCTAAAAATAAAAAATTACCAACAATCTTCACCATTGCCAAATTGACCGTTGCCAACAATTTAGCAACGGTCAAGACCATCACTAATCCATCTCTATTTAGCAATGATCATACCAAGGGTTTACATGACCGTCGCTAATGTCATAGCTGTTTACATCGACATTTAGCGACGGAATAGCAACGTTTTGGACCGTCGCTAATTTTACAACGGTCCGGACCGTCGCTAAAAAACACCGACGACCTTTTTAGTGACGGTTTCTTGATCGTCGCTAAACCATTGCTAAAATGTTTTAGCAACGGTTTTTTTAATTTAGCGACGGGTATGCCGTCGCTAAATTACATTTATCTAGTAGTGTTTGGTCTTATAACCAACCAAGCTCAATGAAATAGCAAGACTCAAATGAAACGGTGTGTTTAGTCTTATAATCAACCAAGCTTGATGAAACAACAAGACTTAAATGGTATGGTGTGTTTAGTCTTATAACTACCGGATTCAACAAGTAGCAACAATAACGGTTACCAATAACTCGTTCGTGCTTAGTTTCAAATCTAAAACAGGTTATCAATTGTGGGCGAAACTATTAAAAGGAGAGAAAATAATAGAGAAAATGATCACAATCAACACACAAGACTTTTTTAATACGGATTTATCCAAGTTTTTCTAGTTTACTTTGCAATAGTTAGCCTTTACATTCTTGCTAGTAATTGGATAGTGTTTACTATTTTTCTTCTTGTTTTCGGTAGATCACATTTATTGCTTTCAATAGTTTTTCTATTGTAACATAGAAGGTTTTGATTCATCCTCGATTATTGTCAAATGCCTTCAAGTATCTCGATGGCTATCGATGAAAATATCATATCTTTCGATTTATGATATTTACACTTTTTCAACGAGTTTTATCTTTTTCAATTGATGAAATTCTCTCTATCTCTAAAGTGTTATTTCTTTATATTAATAACATTCCTTTTATTTCATCTTCTTAAAAATAAAAATTGAGTACCCACGGAAACTCTAATGACTTACTAGGCGAAACCGAACCTCATATCATTTCATCACGAAGTTCTTGGTCACAAATTGAAGCCTTAACCTACTCCACATCAAGACCGAATTCGACGAGCAGCCATGCATACCCTCCTTGTCCTACAAGGGTAGACCTTAACTTACAATTAGTCAAATTCCAAACCTTCACTGTCTTGTTCCGCAAAGCGAAACAATCGAGTTGCTATTAATAGAAAAAACAATAGATAATACATCCTTGTGGTGGATAGTTTTTTTTCAATCTTATATATTGCTCATCTATTATTTAGATTTTCAACAAGAGATATATTCTTTATCATTTGAGATTAGTTTCTATCTAAAAAACTTAAAACTTATAGTGAATGGTTTCACTTGAATTTTATATATATTGCTTATCTATTGTTTACATATTCAACCTAGGACAAGTTTTTCAAGAGATTTATGGCCAAAAAGACTAGAAAACAACTTTATGAATCCGGTAGGTAGCCTTGGTGGAGTAATATCGTGTAATCTCGATATAATGCTTTCCATTCGGTTCATTCCATCCTTAAAGGCCTTCTCAACTGAAAAAGGTCGATCCAATGGCACCTAGCAAAGCACCTAAGCTTCTCTTCCACATTATCAAACGCAATCACGTCATCATAAAATCCTAGATGGATATCGGTGAGATTTCTATCATCAACATCTTGGTGGTCTCTGAAACTGAAATTAATTCCAGCACCATTGATCTCTTTCCAAAAACCAGCTCCAGAAGGCCTTCACTGCAATCAGGCTGCTAGGTAAGAATCAGGCTTGGCTCTTTGATATAGCTGATATACTTGTTTGATGTTTTGGTTTTATGTTATTAGAATCATCAAGATCCTTAGCTGCTTCATTCATTACATCAAATGTTCTTATGCGTTGGTCGGTGTCTACATATGTTGGATATAGAAGTTCGCTTAGATGTTCGAGAGACTGCAAAGGAAAGGAGACAAACAAGAAAACCAAGGCTCTGCGCCCCCTTTCTCCAGCTCCTTCTTAATTTTCTTCCTGTCTTGCTTCTAGTTTCTCCTCTGTTGTTGCAGTAGGAGCTCCTATAATCACAGTCTGACTCTGTCCCTGCATTTCTAATAGAAAGTAATGTTTGATGGCCTCATGATTATCGATTTGGATAGTTGTATAACATCAACTAAAACGTCGAAGTTGTAGTCTGCACTGGCTGCAACGCTGTGCTGCAATTTATATGTGAATTCCAGCACAAAGAACATGGTCGTTTGAATTGCAGCTGCACAAACATAGGACGCCAACAAAAGCTGTATAAATATAGGATGCTCCGTACTTCCTGCATTCACGAACCTCTTCACCTTAATCCTCTTTGCCTTTGTACAGAAAAACCTAGGGTCCCGGAGAACCTTTCAAAATGCAGCTGAGCTCTCTCCAAGCTTTGATTCAGAAAACTCAACAAACTCATTAAAACTAAGATATCCTCTATCGAGTGCACAACCACTTGCCACTTTCTCTTTCTGTGGTTGAAAGGTGTCCTCCTCGTACCACCAAGAGATGTGATCCAAGGGTAAAGGAGTTGTCTTAATTTGGCAAAAACTAAAATTTAATTCTCACTATTTATAAAAAATTAGTCATAATTATCTTTTAGTAGTATCAGACTTAAGCTTATGTGGTATAAAAAGGAGTCTAATGATTAATTAACAGCTAAGCTTATTCTGGCGCTGGATTAGTTCAAAAATTGATGGACTTAGTCTCAGATGATGAAAAAAACTGCCTGAGAATCCCAAATATTTAAAAAAAAAAAAAAAAGAAAGAAAAAAAAATGCGTCCTCATCGTCCTCTATAAACTCAAGTCTCTCCCCTCCTTTCTCCTCAGTTGGCGTAAGTTCAAAAGGATTGCCTTCCATCGCTGTTGGATGCACATCTGAATCTCCTGAATCAGTATTGCCATCGTCAATTGTTTCAACAGCATTATGACCGTCTCCAATTATCATGCTATTAATCCTTTCCTGTCGTTCTATGCCTCTAAGACTCGCTACTGTTTAGATCGTGATAATGAAAGATATAGCAGCCACTAATGGCTCCACTAGTTCTGGCTTCGTATTGATGGACCGTATAGTAGTTTCATCGAGATTCTGCCCTTGCTCGTCATCACCAACAATTAATTAATGAGCTTATTCACCTTTTTTTCACTGCTATATGAGCACATGATATTATTTTGCAACCTTATCAAATTATTGAATGTGCTTACTCTCTTTATTTCTCAAACGTACGTGCACATGCACACGTATATATGAATAGATAAAAGAGAAATTGTTCATGTATACTTCCAATATACGAAGATAATTGCAGAAGTTGGTAAATTTCATCATTATTGTTTATTGGATGAATAACGAACCAAATTCAATGTATAAAGAAAGATTATACAGGTTACACAAAAGAGGAGCTGGAAAATCATTAGTAGCCGTAATAAATAAACCAAAAGATGATTAAATAAGCACCTAATTAACTCAGAGAAAAGGATAACTTGTATGCTTCTGCAGATGCATGCTCAACCGTACACAAATTCATAAACCCATGCATGTATAATGTACAAGACGCATATATATATATATGGATCATCATTATTACTCTTCTTCCATACCTTTTTCTTGATTTCTTAGGCTCCAAACTCACACAAGTCTATTCCCAGAAATTAAACTGGATATGAAGCAAGAAAAAACATGTGAACAAATACGGTAATTATGAAGAAGAAAGTTTCAAGTGCAAAATAATAAAGATTTAAAACCTTTGCCGGCCAAATTAATCCCTTTAAAAGTTTATGATTAATTAGAATGCATTCTTAACAGGAAATGATGGCAATATATAACTAAGTAAAAGATAAAGGAAATTTAAAATGAGTGATGAATTAACCATATATCTTTTCCTAAGAAAAATAAACAACGCACATGTCAAGACTCTTTATATCATGATAATTTTCTCTCTTACTCTTTTAACACTTTTGGCTTTGAAAAGAAAAGTAAACCTACCTATATAGCATCCCCATGCTTCCATTATTTACCTTATTCCCAAAGATGATGATGAGGGGGAATAAAATGTTTGAAGCTTATCGATAGATGAGCGAAGAAGTCGTGTTAGTACTTGAACTATCCACTGATAGATAAATTTAGAGTATATACCAAATATCTGTAGTAAGGGATTAGGGAGAGAGGGAGAGAGTGTAGCATAGGAATTGCTGGGTGCTAAATATTGTAAGAGTTCTACTATTGGTCAAGCAGAAGACTTGATAACACCCCAAATTCTCCAACAAATTATATCGAACTGGACTAAAAACTTTCAGATATTTTTTCATAACCACTCTATATCTGTCTTTTTTAAGAATATAATGATTGTGTGCATGATCATTTGATAAATTATGGCAAGAATATTACAAAAATTCTAACAATATTAATTATCAGCTGTTATATAAATTAAACCTACAAGAGAAACATGAATAAGACTCAACAAATATGAGCATATGACATAAATAGAAGTTGAATGATTGATTGTTGAAAAGGTAAAAGGGAAAAGGAAATTATAACTATGAAAAATTATTCCATAAAAAGTAGTAAAAAATAAGAAATTTAAAGGATCATAGTAAGTGTGATATTGGCACGGCTCAATCAGATTAAAAGACCCAACATCATGATTTAGGAGATTTGACATGATTGAGCCATCCCAACATCCCCCACTTTCTCCATACTTACCACACATATTGGAAGGACGATTAATGATTAAGAATATCCATCAAGCGAGCCCGTAGACAGTCGAGATATGATCTTATCTTTGATCAGAGGGAAGAAACATACAGTCTAGAAATGTATTAGCTCGCTAGCTATCAATATGAGAGAGTCTAGAAATGGTTGTTGGGATTGAATATTACATAAGAGAAAGAAGAAAGTGGAAAAAAGTATGAAGGAGGTATTAACAAGAAATCAAAATGGTTGAGATGTCAAAATCTTTGCTTCATTTAGAAGAGGGATACTTAATTTATAATTATTTCCCATTAGGTCTTCCCACAATTTCCTCAGTGCTTGATGACATTGGCACTTAAATATTACCCAAAAAGAAGTTCCTTTCCACACACTAGCTAGTATGTATTTTCCATTTTAATGTTTCTGATAATATATATTTTCCATTTTCCCTGGCCATCTCCTCTATATATATATATATATGGCCTTCATAACTTTCTTTTCTGAATTAAATTCAATCACAATCACAAATAAAAAAGACGGGTTTGAATTAATTAATCTTTTAGATGATTAGTTGCTTTCAGTATAGAGAAATACATAGAAAATTATGCAATTAAAAATGAACGTTGGCTACAGAAAATTTATATAGTTAAATATATATATTTTTAATTTGCAATCAAAATATCATGCATGGATCAATTACTACTATATTAATTATATATTATTACTAACCTTATAATGGCCAAAATTAATGACTAAATAGATCGCTCAATTTAAAAAATGAAAAAAAATAATAATAATTCTTGAGACAATGATAATTTTCATCTTTACAAAAAAAAAAAAATTAAATTAAGACAACAATAACTTGAAGTTTAGAATATATGCAAAATTTCTTAGCCACTTCAGAATTTAAAATAAACATGAACGACTAGCTCGATCCCTATCTAATTAATTTTATGTAGTAGCTAGGGAGAGGCCGAGTTGGCAAATTAACCTCGATGATCTGGTCCATACATACTTCAGTTAATGATCACAATTTCGAATTTTAGAGATGTCAGTAACCATGCATATATATGTGTGTGTGTTTTAGGTGGACTGGGTATGGAAATAATAATAGTATTGCTATTCTCAAACAATTTTTATCAGAATCACAATAATGTTGTGATTGATGTACGTTGGTGTCAAGATGCTTGCTAGTTGCCTTGGAAATTCTTTTGTAAATATATGCCTAGGCCAAATTATTTATTGTTGTCATACATACCAAGGGGGCAGTTGAAAAGTGTTTTTAAAATTAATTGATTAAATAATTGGACAATTTAATAATGTGTTTTGAAAATGGAGATCCATCAACTTGCTAATTCGTTTATGCAATTAATCATTTGGATTATTAAGGTGGGCTACCTTTGTGCTTAATGATTCGCCTACTCTCCCCACTAAAGATGCTAATTAAGCTGCCTTTGATTCTTCATCCAATGACTGCATACATCATTTGTTGTCCTAAATTCCCCACAATTTAGTGCATACTAATAGTTTTAAGAGGATAAACTTATGATTCAAGAGAAAACGAAATTTTGACCCCAGCATGAGAAGAAGCTTCTCGGCTAATTTTTGCTTTGTTTGATTAGAGAAAAGTTAATTAATTGCATAAGATCCTCCCATTGTTTGCTTAATCATTAATCTAAACCTCTCTAGTCTATGCCCTGGCCGGATGAACAGAGAGTTCTTAAATTAGAGTTATCTTGATGACCATTGACCTGACCTAAACACAGAAAAACTGAAGTTGTGGTTGGTGATACCATTGGAGTAGAAGAATTGCATAAACAGCTCGTGTATTATGATCCTACCATAACATAAATATATTGTTAATTAATTCACAAAATGGCTAAGTTTGGTTGGTGCTCTAGATTCTTGCAAGAAACAAACCAAAAGGATAGGGTTGATGGAACCATCATTACAACTTTCCAACAACCCCGGATTCTATAATCCCAGTCCTGGCCAGGTAATTCTTCCACAACGAAAAGAGAGGAAAAGATCATATCCTTTGTCACCCTCATGACAACCCACCAATCAACATCACCATTGGTTGTTTGGGCAGGTAACATAAACATAGCATCTTCACTTATATTGGACAAAGATCAAAAACGAGGCCAGGTACAGTAACAGAATTACCTGACAAAGTGTTATTGGTGACTTCTATAAACCCATTTGGTTGAAATTCAAAGCCAGCTCTTTCAACAATCAAATAAAATCAAATACAAAGAGAGAGACAGAGAAGCTTGCTTCAACATGTTCTCGAGCTGTTTATTTCATTGCAAGAAAAACTACAGTTGACAGATACATAAAGGCACATGGCAGCAAAAAAGCATCAAACATTAATTCCCAACTTCTTCTTCAACTTCTCAACCTCTAAATATACTGTGGAGTATGGAAGGAACTCTGAGAAATGGGTTTTGCTGAGATCATTAATTGCAACAGCTAGTTTAGGGATTTCTAGAGTCTCTTCATGGGTCAGAGTCCTGACAAACCTTGCTGGATTTCCAGCCCAAAGTTCACCAGTTGGAATTCTTCTTCCCGGGGGAACCACAGACCCAGCTTCAAGGATAGAGTGTGTCTCCAACAAAGATCCTTCCATGAGGATAGAATGCTGTCCAATGATGCACTCTGGCTCAACTGTGCAAGACCGCAAGAGACTGTATGCACCAATGGTAACATACCTTTCAATAGATGTCTCTGCCGGCAGTCCTGGCACATGGAAGATAAACAAAAATATAAAATCAGAGGTTTTTGCTCTATGGAGGAGCTCATAACAAGGAACCACATATTTGCATTTCTTGTAGAATTAATATTAAGGATGCTTTTGGCTGCGGATGAACAAAGGACAATAATGAATGTATTAATTGTTAACCTTGTTTGGTATGCTTTGAGAGGTTTTTAAGGAAGGATGTTATTAGCCCCCCAAAATGGGTAACTGTTGCCCTAATTTATCATTACATGTGGATATCAATAGCAGAGAGCCCTGGCGAACATGCTAAGGTGCCCATAGTACGCATGGAAATTTATGCCAGTGTAGTTCCATCACTTATTGATGTATCTGGTACAGTTCCCAAATGCTACGGAACCATGCAATGTAAAAGATCAGACAGGTCATAAAAATTAATAGGTAGAGCCTGGGAGAAATAAAGAAATTTCTGTCAATAAACTCAAGCAGTAACTATCATACATACATACATCTGTATGTAGATTGTTTCCACAAAGCAAATATACTTACAGAGATGATAAGAAAACTTTAATGAGGTCAACATGTGGGCCACAAAAGATTAGAGAAATCAAGCCAAAAATGACAGCTAGAGCAGACCGCTGGATGGATATGCAGTAGTTGGTATCTATATGGTACATGATTGCTTTGAAATTCAACCCATTTGGAATTTTAACTTCAAAACTAACAAAATGCTGAACAGACAAGTCATACCAGTCCAATTTTAAAAAAGCCAACCATGAGAAAACAACAAAAGAAAGTGCAGTGGTGAAAAGCAAGAAAACCAAAATTCAATTCGAAGGACCTCTTGTGGTTAAGCTACGGTTCTTTCTGCATGAAGCGCGAGCTTTATCAAACCACAACTTTCTACTATATTAGGTGTCCACATTTTAAATCGAGCATGGGGCCCTGTTAATAACTAGGTTTACTGAATATGGAGCTGCCAAAATCTTAATCTCTTATGACCAGGTAAAATAAATAGCATAAAAATTTAACAAGACAAATTTTTTAGTTTAAAAAACAAAGTGCCCCTAATTCTAACAAGCTTGTTAACCTATTGGGAAAGAACCAATCTAAAGCCACAAAGAATGAACAAATAACAGGACATGCGCTTTCACACAAACAAAATCACATGAATGGATGGGCACGAACACACACATGCACAGAACAGAATCAGTAAGCTAATAGAATACCAAGCAGCGATATAGTCTCTAACTCAAATCACCAATGGAGTATCAAATATACTAGAATGATATCTTTAAGTTAGAGACTTAAACCATCGAGTATCAACAATGAAAATTGTAAACTGCTCCAGAAACCATCAGACGTTGGCATAGAAATGGTTTCATAGATTGAACTTCTAACTAAAACATGCTCATTCATTATACATATCCTCATTACAATACTTTTGATGACAGGGTGCTAATAGAATACCAAGCACTGATATAGTCTCTAACTCAAATCAGCGGTGGAGTATCAAATATACAAGAATGATACCTTTCCTTATGGGCATGATTTGTGTTTAGTTGGTAGATAGAATTAGATACGTATAAAGTCAATGTTTTCACACCTAATCTTCTGCTTAACGACAGCCAGCCAAAATAAAGTAGATGAAGAGCATAAAGCAATGACTTTGTCAAATTTATGTCATTGCAAACATCATTTCTGTAATTCTAAAGATAAACCATCAAGTATCAACATTGAAAAATGGAAACTAATCCAGAAACCATCAGACTTTGGCATAGAAACGGTTTCATAGATTGAACTTCAAACTACAACATGCTCACTCATTATACATATCCACATTACAATACTTTTGATGACAGGCTGCTAATAGAATACCAAGCACTGATATAGCCTCTAACTCAAATCACCAATGGATTATCAAATATGCTAGAATGATACCTTTCCTTATGGGCATAATTTGCGTCTCGTTGGTAGATAGAATTAGATACGTATAAAGTCAATTTTTTCACACCTAATCTTATACTTAACGATACCTAGCCAAAATAAAGTAGATGAAGAGCTTAAAACTATGACTTTGTCAGATTGATGTGATTGCAAACATCATTTCTGTAATTCTAAAGATAAACCATCAAGTATCAACATTGAAAATTGTAAACTGCTCCAGAAACCATTAGACGTTGGCATAGAAATGGTTTCCTAGATTGAACTTCTAACTACAACATGCTCGCTCATTATGCATCCAAATTACAATACTTTTGATGACAGGCTGCTAATAGAATACCAAGCACTGATATAGTCTCTAACTCAAATCACCAATGGAGTATCGAATATACTAGAATGATACCTTTCCTTATGGGCATAATTTGTCTAGTTGGTAGATAGAATTACATACATATAAAGTCAATGTTTTCACACCTAATCTTATACTTAATGATACCTTAGCCAAAATAAAGTAGATAAAGAGCTTAAAGCAATGACTTTATCGGATTGATGTGATTGCAAACATCATTTCTGTAATTCTAAAGATAAACCATCGAGTATCAGCAATGAAAATTGTAAACTGCTCCAGAAACCATCAGACATTGGCATAGAAATGGTTTCATAGATTGAACTTCTAACTACAACAAGCTCACTCATTATACATATCCACATTACAATACTTTTGATGACCGGCTGCTTATTTTGTGGAAGGAAAAATCCTCTTAATTTTGAGTATACTAGCCATGCAGGTAACTCGATTGCCGTTCTTATTTTTCTTTACACAGTCTAGAAACAACTTTCATTAGAGTAGCAGAGACATATCAATGGGCTAATCTGAAAATGTTTAAGTAAAAATAGCATCTTCAAAACATGATTCTGTTCATCAGAGGGCAAGTTTATTCTAACTTACTTGGTATCAATTTTCCTTTCCCACCACTCTTTTCTTTTTTCCTGAAAGCTTACATGATACTCATGCACAAAATCCACAAAAAAAAGAAAAGAAAAGTCATAAATAGATCAATTTCAACAACAAGAACCCTTATTAATGAAGTTCATTGCATGAAGGTCAGAGCTCAAAGTGTCACCAAACTTCATATAGAGTTCTTGAAAGCTACAACTCAATCCTGTTACTCAAAAAACCTTTGCTTTCCTTCTTTCTGTAACCAGTACCAAGATGAGAAATGCCACAGGCAATCATTATAGCAGTTTCCCTTCTAACACACTTACTTTCATGGAGCCATGCATATACATAAGATGCATCACCAGTTATTCCTATTGGTGTCTTTCTTTTCCTTCTTTAAATCCCTCTTAGTTATTCTTATACTCCTTTTACATTGCCAGGACTTTTTCCATTGGGGTGCAGCATTTATGTGAGATTGGTGTGGAAGTTAAAAGGTTGATTGAGTAAATGAATGGCGAGATCTAAATATTTCGGTTTACCTTTCATAATCTACACATAAAAATTCAGGAATTTATTATCACAACTAAACCCATAGATTTTTTAATATGTAAAATCCCAGAAACATGTACCCTGATGGGGAAAATAAGGAAATGAGTGGAACAAAATCAAGTATGGATGGATGTTGGATGCGGCTGAGATTCAGAGATGAAAGAATGTGAGAAAATGACACGAAAAAATTGCTACAAGGACTGAGTGAGAAGAAATTAGCATCATTGTTTTACTGGAAAGGGTTATCTAAAGAAGTAAGGGAATATGTTAGACACTGTGCAACATGTTAGGAATGGAAATATGAGAATGTTGCAAATCCAGGGTTGTTAAATCCATTGCCTTTAACTCAAGCTATTTTTACTGATACCACAACGAATTTCATTGAAGGATTGCCCTTATCTCAAGGTAAGTCCGTTATCTTTGTGGTTTTTTGTTCGTTTGACAAAGTATGCACATTTTATGCTCTTGGCTCATCCTTATTCTGCAAGTTCAGTAGTTAAGGTATTCATGGAACAAGTTTACAAACTTCATTGCTTATTTCATAGCATAAGAGGGCCGCTATAAGAGGGCCGCTATCTTTCTGGCTTTTCGGAACTGCGAATGATAAGTTACCGGTTGCAGTCAGTGTTTTTAGATAAACAAGGCAATTTTACATGGCAAGCATCCAAAGCAAATGTTTAATGTGATGGCCGCTAACATTTCTCATACCAAGATCTTACAGATTACACATATTTCCTTCTCTCTGCATAGAGATACAAAATGACACTTGAACAGGGATATCCAAAAATGCCAGCAAAAAACATAAAATCGATTAAGACTCACAATTTCTAATTTTTACAAAATAATAATAATAACAATAATAAAAAGAAACACAAAAGAAGAAAAATAAAATAAAACAAACCTGCAAATGCATCATTCGCAAATGTCATTTCACCCTAATCCCATTAAAATCTAATAAAAAGAAACTGATTGGCAGTCACTTAATTCACAGAACCCACTACCAGTACCCAAAAATGATGCTCACGGACAATTAAAAAAAAAATAATCCTGCATATAAAATGACCAAACAATAACCTCAAAATCCATTAATAATAGATCAACACTTCCATTATTTGCACTCTCAATCACTTCCAGCCTCCAATTCTAATTCACTTCATTCTAGCCAAAATACATTAACCCCCAAAATTACATTCACTTACTGCCTCCATTCCAAAATGAAATTATAAAATTACCAAAAATATCCGCCGCTTCAATTAAAAATTCCCAAAACATAAAATCCCCTAAGAAAAAGCCACATTTCACTAATCACTTCAATCACAAATTAATCAAAAAAAAATACCGAATTCAACAATCAAATCACGAAATTCTAAACAATCGATAAAAATTATACATGAAGAACATTAATCTAGCTCAAAATTACTAATATATATATATATATAACCCTAACCTGTAGGAGAGTTCCAGGCAGCATGAACGACGCACCGTTCTTGAACATTAGAGCAAAAGCCGACGGTGATCTTATTAAGATCGCCACGTAATACAGCTCCATTCCAAACGGATGCTCCATCATAAACAGTAACTTGACCCGCTAGTACAACATTTGGTGCCACGTATGCATCCACAGCTATTTTTGGTAGCCATTGACCTAACGGAATTATTTGTCTCTGTCCTCGATAGTCCCATTTCACTCGATCTGCTGATGGCGTTATCGATTTTGACGAAGCTGTCGCAGCCGCTGCTGTCTCCGTCGCAAAGTGACGGTTAAGTGAGAGAGCTGTGGTGGTGGTTAGGGATTTTCGAGCGATTCTTGCCAGGGCTGTCGCCATTTTTTATATTTTTTTTCACTGTTTTTGTGGAGCTTGAGTTTGATAAAACAAGCAGAAAAGAAATTGGAGAGTGTGAACAGAGAAATGATACTCGGGCTTGGGAATGGGCCTAGAGGGCATTTTATGTTTTGTTTTGGGTTTTGATGGGCTGAGAAGTGGTGGTGACCTTTTAGTTCGATTAGTTTTTGTCGAGAATCATTCAATATACCCAACCTGCGCTTTCCTTGTACCTGTCCTTCGCTTATATAAAAACTAGTCGTCGTTCATTAGCTCTAATTTGCCAAAAAAAAAAAAGGCTCAGCAAATGATAAGAGATTGGGATGCTTCTGTTCTATCAAAGTAAATGTTGATTATCTATTGAAATAAATAGATGAGTGTGGATATAAAATGTCATTGAATTATCAAATCCAAAAAAATTCAATCAATTGCATATAAATATTAATGTAAAAGTGTTTGTTTTGGTTGATGTAAAAACTAATTCGAAAATGCTCCAATATTATAAATAAATAAATAAGAAATTTATACTTACTTTTGTACTTATGTATATGTTCGATTCTTTTTTAAAATTAATTAAGCAACTTAACTAATTTTCTTTCGATCCTACTCAATATTATTTTTCTTTGATTTTTGACATGGTCTCAAACTAAACCACAAATGGATTGGTTGAGGATGTGTCTCACTTAGTGCAAGGTCATGAGTTACAAAGATGGACATGGATGTTCCGGTAGGATCAATGTTCATGTCTTGTTTTTTGATTGCATTAGAGAGATTGGTTTGGTGAGCTCAAAATAAAATCCGTTAAAAGAAAACTCAATTGTTATTTTTTTAGCCTTTTTATTAAGTTGAAGTAGTTTATTCTAAAAAACCTAAATCTTTCAAACCAAGTCCGACCATCCAAACTTTGATAATGTGGCATGAACCTAGCAATCAACGATTATCTTCTTTCAATATAAATACCAATCTCGTATCATTATGAGCGAATCGAACTTTTGAATCGAGAAACTTTTGACTTTTAAATTTTTAATCTCTAGCAAAAGAAAAACTTGAATTCTCCATCTCAAAACGCTCTCACTCACACCAAACAACACTTAAAGCTTTACCTATTTGGACCTTAACCACCCACTTGTCGCCTACACAAGTTACGTATTGCTAGCATCGTCCGCTTCTCCTCTCACATCTCTTGCTATTTGCATCATTTATATTTAGTTAGTTGATCATTGCTTTTACAAGCCATAATATTAGTTCTCTCGCATCTTGATCGACCTACCGACTTGTTGTCTAATCAATTCTCAATAACCCTCTTTTACAACATCTATTTTTGAATAAATAATATAATTTTTAAAATATGTATTAGGTTAATATGATCAAAATTTATGCACAAGTGAATGTGCTCATTTGTAACTATTGTTCTATTTGGAATAAATAGATATCCATTCTCAAAATATTATTAATGATAATAATTCATAAATACTAATAAAATAAACCCTCGTTCCACCCCTATATATATGTAATGACGATTTGAACCCTCACGAATCGAGGCACTTTAAGCATTATTGGTATTTTATGTATGTATATACATAGATAACCATTTAAAACCTCACAAATCAAGACATTTTAAGCATTATTGATATTTTGTGTGCATAACCGTTAAAATATCTTAAGTATTAGGGCTGTCAAAAATGGGATAAAAAAGGCATTTTTACAATTTATCTTTCTTCCTTTTCTTTTTCCATATAAAGGAAATAGAGAAATGTAAGTGTACATGAATAGCCAACTATCAAATTTAATTAAGAAAATAAAAGTTAGAGAAGGAGACAATGAAATATTTGCTAATACAAAAATAAATCTACAAAAAATAATCAAGAGTATTTTGCTATGGTTGGCTTGCATTTACGAAGTAAGAAACTTTAATTCAGTAATCATATTTGACGAACTTGCCCAGTCTCAGAAGGAGAAGCACCTAAAAATTTGTTGCATTATAGCTCGAGTGACGTAAGTAGTTATATCAAGATTTATCTTAAACAATAACTTAAAAAAGAAAATTGAAGAAAATAATAAAAAGAATTCAACTCCAAAATCCAAAAAATAGAAAACAAAATAATTAAAAAGACCGTTGATCTAAATACAAAAATTTAAATAAAAAGAGTAAGACGTGGAGAGATGAGACTCAAATGGATCAAATCTTTCAAAAATGGGATGAAAAAGGCATCATTATTTGAAACCTCACAAATCAAGACATTTTAAGCGTTATTGATATTTTATGTGCATAACAGTTACAATATCTTAAGTAATGGGACTGTCAAAACTAGGATGAAAAAGACATTTTCACGATACACTCTGTGTGTGTGTGTGTAATGACTATTTGAAACCTCACGAATCAAGAAATTTTAAGCATTATTGATATTTTTGTGTGCATAACAGTTACAATATCTTAAGTATTGGGGCTGTCAAAAGTGGGATGAAAAAGGCATTTTCACAATTTATCCATACATTTCAACCTTTTTTCTTCCTTCCTTTTTTTCATATAAAGGAAATAAAGAAATGTAAGTGTACATGAATAGCCAAATATCAAATTTAATTAAGAAGATAAAAAAAAAAGTTAGAGAAGGAAACAATGAAATATTCCTAATAAAAACTCAAAAATAAATCTACAGAAAATAATCGAGAGTACTTTACTATGGTTGGCTTGCATTTACGAAGTAAGAAACTTCCATACAGTAATCATATTTGATGAACTTGCCCAAACTCAAAAGGAGAAGACCTAAAATTTGTTGCATTATAGCTCGAGTGACGTAAGTAGATCTATCAAGATTTATCCAAAACATTAACTTAAAAAAGAAAATTGATGAAAATAATCAAAATAATTAAACCCCAAAATCTAAAAAATAGAAAACAAAATAATTAAAGAGCTTGTTGATCTAAATACAAATTTTTTGTTTAAAAGAGTAAGACGTTGAGAGTTAAGACTCAAGTGGATCAATTCTATGAACCCTAATTTGTTTTTTTATCAATTGAGAAAAACATATAAGAAAATGATTTAATGAGAACTTGATGAGACAAATAAAGTAAACTAGAGATACATTTTCTCCTTGCTTTAAATTGCGCTTCTCATCATCCCATCTATTTATTTCTTTTCGTTTTTCATTTTCCAATCAAAATTTAAAAGCGCCTTTTGTTAAATCAACTGGTCTTCTTCCTTCTCTCTCTAGTATATATACTTTAGTGTTAATACTTTCACCTATTTTTATATAATAAGTTAATTTTTTAATCTGTTTTTTTTAAAAAAAAAACCTATAATCTATTTTTATATTTTGAGATGCTTTCTATTCTATACTTTTAGTCAAAATTTTCGATCAAATTTCAAAAATTAATCTTCATATCGGTAGATGTAGATCATTTGTGTCAAATAAAAAAGATAATTTTATCAAATTATATACCATGCGCAAATCACATATTTAATTTGGCTTAATTTAATCAAAAATTTAATTAAAAAGATATATCACTATAAAAAAAAACAGCAATTTAGCAATGGATATCAACAATGGATTTTAAATCCGTAGTTAAATAGTGATGGATTAGCAAACGATTTTCGAATATGGGATTTAATGATAGAATACTAATCGATTTGTGATGGACAAATAATGACAAATGTGGTCCATCATTAAATATAATTGTAAAATATTTACAATTATTTTAACCATGGATTAGCAACGAAATTACAAGGACATTCAAGCAACAAATACTCCAATCATCACTCGTTTTTTATTTTTCATTTGGGCCCGATTAGCAAGGAAATATTCCATCACTAAATCCTTGATGTTGTCACCCATCGAGACAAATTACGTCCGTTGCTAAATTTACCAATAATAGCAATGAATCATGTCCGGCAATAGTTATTTTTGGTAAAAAAAGGTTGTCATTTGAAATTCAAAATCAACTATGCACACTTAAATTCATCGCTAATTAGTGACGGATTGGCGATGGAGTCAAGTCCATCGCTAAAATTAAATTCCTAAATTGGCAAAATCCCTTTTTTCCTCCATTTTCTTCTTCCTAGTAGAATCCCTTTCTTCCTCCATTTTCTTCTTCATTTTCCCTCTCTTCCTCTCACCATAACCATCTCTCGACCTTGCCATTGCACTCGTAAACCCCTTAAAATATCACTCCTCCACTTTTCATTAACCTCCAACCATTCAACCGTCTTCTCTCCCAAAAACGAGCAACGATTCTCTCTCTCTCGGGTATACTTTGCCTTGCGTGTCTCTCTCTTTTTCTTTACTAAGAAAAAAGCCCAATTAGGTATATTTCTTTCTTTAGATTTATATTTTATATTGAATTTATATGGTTTTGTGTATTACTATTGATGTTGCTATTTTTTTAGTGTTTGAAATTTTACTCATTTGTATGCATAATATTAATTATTAATAAATATATTAAGAAACTCAATTTATGTTATTTAAATTTTAATTGAGTATAATTTTAATTTATTAGAATTGTTTTGAATTAATTAGGTTTGGGTGTTGATAAATTAGCATAACATTTTGAGTATGTAATTTGTTATACAATAGTTAAAAATAAAAGTGGAGTCATTTGATAATTAAGTTATTCCATTTAAAACAACACATTAATTTTAGAATTAAAGAATTATTTTAAGATTGACATAATATCTTATTATTTGAACTTAATATTTTAAAAATTGATAAATTAGTTTTTTTAATCAAATTTTTTTAATATAAATAAATAATTAGTTGTTGTATGAACTATGATATTAATTATTTATATATAAAACTATACATATGTAATTAATTATTAGTAATTATTTAAAAAAAACTTAATTTATGTTATTTGAAATTTAATTGAGTGTATTTTTAATTTATTAAAGTTATTTTGAATTAATTATGTTTGGATGTTGATAAATTAGGATAAAATTTTGAGTATATAATTTGTTATACAATGATTAAAAATAAAGTTGGAGTCATTTAATAATTAAGTTATTGGAT